AGATACATAGATGGATGTTAAAACTACATTTCTAAATGGTGAATTGAACGAGAAAGTTTATATGGAATAGCCAAAGGCTTCAAGGTAAAAGGACAAAAATACAAAGTTTGTAGACTTGTTAAGTCCTTATACAGGTTGAAGTAAGTTCCTAAACGATGACATGAAAAATTTGACAATGTCATAAATAGAAATGAATTCATCATAAATGAGTATGATAAATGTGTTTAATCGAAAAAATTCGAAGAAGCGTGCACTTTGGTTTATCTATATGTTGATGACATGCTCATTTTAGAAACTAATATAAAAGTTAATAATAAAAGAAAGATAATTCTAACCAATAACTTTGATATGAAAGATATGAGAGAAATGGATTTAAAGCCTATGCAATGGGACAAATTAATGGAAACCTAATATGGCGACCGGAGATCGTAAATACTAGGTTCAATAGGAAAATTAGTTGTAAATGGCTCGATGAGAAGCACTTCGGAGTTTTAACTCCTTCTCATTTCTATGATGCAAATAAATGTTGCCTACCAAAGATTGACTAGGATAAGTTATGTTTTTAACTATGCCTATATTTTGTAAATAGTATAAGTAGAGTAATGTGTGGTACTCTTTATAGAACATCACATATATGAGTGCGAACTTGGCCGGTTTAAATGATGATTTTACTTAGGCGAATTCTCTAACGCACTGTAGAACCAAAGAGAGTTCAAGGCCAAAATAATGAACACAATATAGAACCAAAGTTTGATAGTTCAAGACGTTGCGTTCACTGATTAGTCAGGTGAGTCCGATAGATTTTCTACTAGGGAAGGTTCAAAACGAAAGCTACATATCCTGATTCATTATTTCTCAGCAATACTCTTCTTCGTCTTCCTTGGATTTTGTCGACTTTTTTCATTCATGTGGGAGATTGCTAGAATAATTGAAATTATTTATAATGTAAATTTGAATGTCTTCAATATATGCCTCTTCAATTGTAAAGAGTCACGTTGTTTAGAATTGGCGTGACTATTTAAAATGTATATGATCAAAAGGTGTATACTACACCATTTAATGGGAAAAGGTATAGTCTATGTTAAGAAATGCAACATTTCAATGAAAATGTGCATACTACACCATTTAATATAAAAATATTTGGTCTATGTTAATAGATGCAACATTTCTACAAGTCACTTGAAAATTTATAAATAGAGACATTTAATTCCATTTTTTCTACACCAAATCAATTCAAATTATTATTGATTTCTAATTCTCTCCTCACTTCAAAAATTTCATTCCTTTTATTTTGCTGAAATAAAATTTAGTTCGAATTATTTTTAGAAATAAAATTTCGTTCGAATTTTTAATTCCTGTCCATTCCATCCAAAAAGAATATTGTCTATACTTTGGTTTGACCGACCGGATTAGTATAGTGCAAATACCTACTTTGGAAGAAGTGTTATATCTTGAGAAACAAGTGTACAATTATCTTGTTAGCACCAGTACAGATGGCGAAATCAATCTTGAAGAGATTTACTACGACATACCTTGCTTCATTGTCACTCTTATTTTCTTTCTTTTTATTGTACTTGTCATTAATTTGACAACAACTTTCTCCTTGACTATTGAACTTTAAATTGTTTCATTTAAACTACTAACTTTTAAAATCCTTTCAATTAAACCATCACTTTGGACATCCATCTTTTAAAATAAAATCCTACCTGGCCTTAAGATTCTGCCAATTTTGTTGACACACTCTGAGCTCACCAATTGAGTCTCATGTGACCCAAAGTCCAAAATGTTGCTAGTATATTTTCACATATGACAAGATCAAAAAGTAAGAAAAAATTTTGGGTTTACGTACAAAATATTTTATTGTGTGGTTAAAAATGAGTATGAAGAAAAAAGAATTTTTGGAGAATGGCTATCAACAAGGATTTAAAGAATTTGCGATTAAAAAGTAGATAAAAATTTTGGATTTTCGTTAAAATATTTTATTATATGAATAAGTGGTTGAAAATAAGTATGTAAGAAAAAGAGTTTTAAATAATGATTGTCAAAAAAGGACTAAACATCGCTGGTGTCCACTTAATGTGGCTCGATTAATTATTAAACCATTATTTGGTATAGAAATTAAAATTCAGATTTTAATTAAGTCAAAATCAACAACTAATTTTAACTACAGATTTTGTGGGATTCAGAACTTTTCAACCACATATTTCATCAACTTTTATCAAAATCTAATTTCAATTCTCATCAAACAGGGGCTAAATCACGTTAAAGGTTTTAAACAATCTTCTTGTGGGCTTGATCTACCTTTTATAATAGACCGGAATAGCCATCAGCTTGGTCTTTAACCCCTAATCAAAATCATTTTAACTTCTCTATCTTGCACTAATCATTTTATATTTTATAACTTTGGCATGTGACTTGATCGTCAGATAGCAAATAGTCGTTCAACTTTTTTCGAAAACGATGACCTTGCTTCCGACGGGTGTTATTGGCAAACAACATATAAGAGGTCAACACGAGAATATTTGAACTCCATTTTTAAAGAAAAGTTCATTTTGTAATAGTAGATTGATGGAGAATGTGTGGTTAAAAAATAAGGAGAAATTTTTTATTAGAGTATAATATTATTTTATTGAAAAATGAGTGATTGAAAAGAAAAGAGAGAAAAAATGTATTTTGAAAATAATTGGAATCAAACTTATATTTTCTATTTAATTAAATAAGACAATTATCGTGTATATCTGGCCCTTGTTTGGTTCCCATTATTTTCAAAATACATTTTTCTCTTAATTATTTTCAATCACACATTTTTCAATAAAATAATATTACACGCAAACCTAAAAAAATACCTTATTTTTTAACCACATATTTCCATCATATCACTATTCCAAAATAAATTTTTGACCAAAAAAAAAAAAAGAAAAAAAAAAGGAAGAAGGAGGAATCTGAACAGGCTCTAGCTTCTTAGATTAAAATTAAGGTCAAAGTCAATAATAAATTTTAATTACATATTTTATATGATCCACAATTTCCAACAATATATTTCGTCAACTTTTATAAAACCTACTAAAAAATTGATTATAATCCCTCCAAACACAGATTCATTATCCATACTATCTTAAAAGAGGCAATCCATAATTTACTATTCATTTGTGAAACATTTTTTATCCCCATTTTATCCATAGCCATCTACTACCCATCCACGCATTTTCAAAACAAAAGGGTACTATGGATTTCTTCTTACCGACAATTGTTGTCTAGGGAAAGACAAAAAGGGAAGCAATCACACAATTGTTGACTGAGTGAACACTCTGCACAGTGCGGAGTGTGACTTCGCGTTGTGCGGAGTTTTCACTCCGCACTGCATGGAGTATTTTTCCCGCGCTGTGCGGAGTGCGGACACTGGTGTCCACGCTGTGCGGACACGGTGTATATATTTATTTATTTATTTTTAACCCCCCCCCCCCCCTCCCCCCATGTGTGCTATGTATTGTTCATATTTTTATTAAAATAGGTTGAAATTTAAGTTAGATTTGCTTATAAATAAATTATATTATTAATATACATTATGTTTTTTGAATGATTTGTGTAGAAAATACATATTCAACACATATACGAAAATCAAAATTCCTTTCGGGGCGTTGCCCCCGACCCCCACGAGGGGCGCTGCCCACTTGACCCCCCGCGACCTGAGCGGGCAGGTCAATCCCCGCCTTTTAGGGGGCAGCGCAGACCAATCGGGAATCACTTTTGCTTTATGTTTCTCTGCTATTAAGATGATTCAATTCATCATGTTAGCTTATTGTAAATTGAGTATTTCCTTTTCGGCTTCATCTACTAGATGGTTACAATCCATTTTTGGAACTCACTTTAAGTGATGGGAAGAAGATATTATTAGTGATCAAGACCTTGAATTCAAAATGAGGAAGTTCAAATATAGTGCACGACCAACTTATGTTCTTCCCCTACAATATGAGAAATTGCTTCATGCAAAAGATAGACTTCAAATGACTGTGGCATTACTGCACAAGAGGTTTATGTCACTGTGGAAAGTCCTTCAACTTTCTACCTAAGGTCTAAAGCTTATTGCTGCAACATTACTTTTTTCAGTTTGGGAATTCTATATTTCTATTCATTTATTATATTGCTTTCCGCTATGGTTGACCCTCCAGTATCAGTTGGAGATGTTAGGAGTAGCTCTAAATAAGAGGAGCTACGAATGATTAAGAGGAAAAAGCCAAGTGTTTGACATTAAATATCCAATCAATACAATAATATTAGTAAATTCAAACGTGAGTGAGCTGAAGTCACTCGATGTACCTGTGGATCATGTGGTAATTTTAGATTCTCTTTAATTCTACTGATGATCATTTCATACAAGATCAAAACCATCAAATTTTGGAGTTGTCTCGATGTATTTAACATCAGCATGTTAAACTGCCTTGTTTACGATGCATTTCCATTCAATACTTAAAAACGAGTTAGTAAAAGAACAAACATTTGTTTTTATCTCTTGTCCACACCACAAATTCTAAATGCATTAATTCTACTAGATTAAAACATACATTAGTTACATGAGAATATAGATGTGTCAATACGGGTGGTTCGGGCCGGGTCGGCCCGTCAACATATGAGCTGGGTAACAGCCCGAGTGAAAAAAAGCTCACTCGCTACGGGTTCCGGGCCGATTTCGGGTCAACTCACAAATTTTGGACTACAACCCAGACCCGTCCGCTGACCCATCCGAGTCGAGCCCATGTAGGGGTCACGGGTTGCACGGGTCGCGGTTTGTTCCGATTTGGCCCGTATTATTGTATAAATAAAATTATAAAAATATAGAATTTTTCATATTTATAACAAAAAATATTTTTGTTAAATGTAAATTAAGAATTTTTTTCCTTGAATTTTGAGATGATCCAACTTCTACAACATTGTCATCTTCTAAATTAATTGGG